AGACGCCGGCCACGTGGCCTACTGTAGCGAGGACGGAGATGTCTCGCTAGAGGCGACGGCCGAGGGAGGAGATGGCGGCGACGAGGTCGGTGCCAGGGGAGATCTCGATGAGGGTCGAGCGGAGGGAGGTGGGGATTTTGCGGGTGACGATGATGGGGGGCTTGGGCTTGTTTTTGGAGTCGGAGGGGCAGCCACCGTTGAGGGATCAAAGCCTAAAATTAGCTGCACATTTGCATCAAATGTTATAAGATCAGCAAGTCAAGTCCCTTATGTAGCATTTGAACCAAAAATTGTGAGGAGGTTTGTCTATTTGCCCTTGTTAAATTATGGGAAAATTCGCATTTTGATCTCCATGTGCTCTCTTCAGGTGGGAAACTACCGATGGTGTTATTCATGTGAGGATACAATGGTTTAGAGTCATGTAACAATTTGTAGCTTTCATGCATTGCATCATAAAAATTTAACTATCATTGCAGTGGTGTGGTTTGTTGTTGACTGACCTGTTTGGTAATTAAGTTACTTTCTCTATTTCAGATGTTTGTTTGTGGTTGTTTCTTCTTTATAGCATGCCAGATATATCCTCTTTTATGTTTGGATCTCTATTCATGTGATAAATTATGCATTTATGTATTAGAGCCCTAGACCCAACAAGATGACTTTGTCAACATTTATATTGCCATTCAGTTTCAAATATTACTTTCGTTTTGAGCCTGCAAATTTACACTTGTATAATTGCTCTTGTGGTTGCATTCAGTTTCAAACAGATGCAAGTCTCTTTTTACATGTTGTGCTTCTTGTGTTAGCAGTAATCAACATGGTGGTCATCGACCAAGAGTGAGATTTATTCAATTATCGATTGCTTAGCTCTTAATGATTTAGAGTGGGGCGCAAAATAACAGATCAAGAATGCTTGTCGCCTATTGTTGCAATACCTTACTTTCCTTCTTTGTCTCTTCATTTGAGATTTCTTTTAGACCTTCAAGAAAAGTCCTCAAAGATGCTATAGATGAATAAATTAACATGTATGACATGAGGGAACGGAATGGAAGTGGAATGGACTAAATAAACCCTAAGTTCGTATCTACCCAGATATATTCACACTTAGGTACAAAAGCTTCAGATTGGTATTATTCAGGAAGTCAATTAGGTAACTACTTCATGAATAAAGTGCTTTTGTGCTTCTCTTGCATTCTCAAAGTCATACAAGCAGTGAAAACTATACACTTTAGATTTCAACTTTATGACATGTTGGGTGGTCCGGTGAGGTTTGTGCTTAGGTTGCATGGCCATTGGGGGAGTCACGTGTCATGTTTCATTGTTCAGTTAATTATACTATGTGTTCTTATGGTTTCGTTGTACTTAGATCAAAATTTAATAAAATGTATTGTGTCTATTTAGTGATCAATTTTGATGTAATTTATTATAATTGTATGTGAAATGTATTGTGATTGTTATGTGAATATGTACAAGTTACGATAATATGTACGTAATCTTAAGGTTATTGTGTACATAATATATACAGATTATGTACATAATCTTCAAGTTACGATACATTGTTAAATCTCATATAGTTGTACATAATCTTGAGGTTGTTAAGAATTTTATAGCACATTGTTGAAGGTTTTTGTAATCTCTAAGATTGTAAGTCTAATCATATCGTGTATTTAAGAAATATCAACTGTAATAATGTAAGAATTTTTATTATAGTGAACATTAACATGTTATGTTGAACGTTAACATGTTCAGTTGAAAGTTAACATATTAGAAGAAATGTAATATGTAACATTAAAAGTTAACATGTTATAATGAAAGTTAACATGTTCAGCTAAAAGTTAATATGTTACGAGGAGAGTTAAGCTTCATCATAATATGTTAACATTCACTATTACTTATTAACTTTCACCATAATATGATCACTTTCTTCATAACATGTTAACTTTTAACTGAACATATTAACGTTCATCATAACATGTTAACTTTCAACTGAACATGTTAACTTTCTACTGAAATGTTAACTTTAATTTTAATTTTAATTTTAACTTTGGATTAAATTTTAATTTTAATTACATTTCATATGGTGGAGCATATTTCAGAAAAAATCTTAGATATGAAGAAACTTTAATTTTAACTTTGAACTAAAATTTAATATATCATTATAAAAGTTAATATATTATTATGAAGAAACTTTCAAACACATTGAATTTTAGTTCAAAAAAAAGTGTTAAGAAGAAAGTTAACATATTATTATGAAAGTTAACATGTAAAAGTGAAAGTTAACATATTATGATGAAAGTTAATATGTTCAGTTGAACGCTAACATGTTATGAGTATAGTTAACATATAATGATGAAAGTTAACATAATTTTAAAAAAAATTAACATATTATTATGAAACTTAACATGTAACAGTGAAAGTTAACACGATTGTATGTGAAATGTATTGTGGCTATCATGTGAATATGTACAAGTTCATTCAAATAGAACCTGATGTGCATAATAAACTAAATATTGTATATAAATTATGTGTATCAAAACCTGAATATTATGGTACATAATATGTACATAATCTTGATGTTATTATGTACATAATATATACAAATTATGTACATAATCTTCAAGTTACGATACATTATTAAACCTCATAACATGTTAATTCTCCTCATAACATGTGATTTGCTATTGTGATCGCAAATATGCTTAAAATCATAATGATGGAGGATCAACAATTTGGTGTGTACTCAATCATGTGTGAAAAATGTTAGCCCTTATGTTTTGATGATAATTTACAACCACTATTATCGGTACTAATTGCTTATTAAGTGATATTGTAGTTAATATGTATATCAAGCTTGTTAGTACCATTCATGGAGGATTGGATGGAATATGAGCTACAACGTCAATATCTATGTAGGAGGTGGAGGCAATGTGATGAAGCACATGTTAATCAATAACAACATATACAAGTAAAAGCTTCATCAAATCAAAGCAATATCAAGACTCAAAGAGATGTTATTCTATGTGAGGATATTTGCTAGCTTTTCTTTTCTCTTTAGTGCTAGATTGTAGGCAAGTAGTTGTAGATTTAATTTGAAGCTATTCGGGATATCACACACACTTGCACACCTTTAAAAATATGTATTTTGGTACTTTAGTCAAAATGATGTTTTTCATAAATGCAAGGACCTTGTTGCAAAATTCCTTTTCAAACAAGTTTGTCAAAATGATTATAAACTTTCTCCAAAGTTTCATATTTTATGGAATTTATTTGATATTTTTAAACATGGTTTAAAGTTCAGTTTTCCTGTGCAAATCTGATCTGTACATGTTCAGTCGACTCATAACTCGACTTATAATTCGACTTACGAAGTGCAGCGGAATTGCAATTTTTATCTACTGAGTCAACTCATATAAGTCGGCTCATAAGTCGACTTATCAGAGTGTCGTTGCACAGTAACGGCTAGTTTCAGAAATCCGGATTTTGGGGGATTTTGATGGTTTCTTTGGGGTTTTGGTTGCTGATATTTTTCACTATAAATACCCAACTACCCCATTTATTTTTCTACCAACTTTGCAAGAGAAAAATCAATTGTGTTTAATTCTTGAGTTCAAAAGCCTTAACTTTCAAAATCCAATTCCTTGTTTTATATTTACACATCCCACATCTCAAAGCTTCAAGTGAAATTTCTCTCCTTGCCATAGGGCTGTTGTAAGAGAGAGTATTCTTTATTTTCTACCATTGATTGTGTGGTGATCTCGTGGAGATCAACTGTGTCGTGAGATCTCGTGGAGATCGCTGTGTAGAAGAAGTTCCGGCTTCCAAACCGGGTTGTGTAGTGGATTCTCCTCGAGAGTGGGGAGCAGGAACATAGGCTAGAGTGCCGAACCTCGTGAACACATCGCGCGTCATTTGGATAACAGTTTCTATCTTATCTCTCCTTATTTCTAGCTTTATATTTTGTGGTGTTTACTTGTCTTAATTTTTATTGCACATTTATTGCCTTTAGACCCTAATCACCCCCCTATAGGGTCCAATAATTGGTATCAGAGTTTGGTCTCTATATTATTTTTTGGTCTAATCACCTTAGAGAAAAGGTCTTATAGAGGTTTCAATGAATGTGCACATGTTAGAAGAACAATCCACCACTAGACCCCCTCTCTTCACCGGTAGTAATTTTGCATATTGTAAAGCTAGGATGAGAATCTATCTTCGTTGCATTGACCTTGACATCCTAGACATCATTGAAAAGAAATATGTAGAAAAGCCTAAAACTAGCTCTATGACCGATGGTGAGAGGCTCCAAGCCAATCTCAATGTAAAGGTTATGAATGCCTTAATTTGTGGCCTCACACCAAATGAATACAATAGGGTTTCTACTTGTGCTACTGCATATGAGATTTGGACCAAACTTTGCATCACACATGAGGGAACCCCCCAAGTTAAGGAATCAAAAATTAGTGGACT